GTTCAGTTTTCAGAATCTATTTGAAAATCCAGGATGAATCCAAGAATACTATTGTCTATGTATCAATCAAAAACTGCCATATAAACAACAGTCTTCCCTGGAGACTCAGACAGTTAAGAATCCACCTGCAATGTGGGAGATAGGGTTTATTCCCTGGGTGGAGAAGATCCCCTGGAGAAGGAAATGGTAATCCACTCCAGTACTCTTGCCTAGAGAATCCCATGGACAGAGGCGCCTGGAGGGCCACTGTCCATCAGTCCGCAAAGAGTCAGACACAACTGAGCAAGTAACACACAGACATACACACAAACTAACAATTGATCGTGGGGCACTCACTGATATGGTCTTTCATAATAATGCATTGTTTGATCTTCACCCTACAAACCTTTAAAAACTGAAGTATAAATTCTTATCTTATTTTTAAAAATCATGAAAAAAAACAAATACCTAGAAGCTAAAACCAAAAACCCACAGCCTGAGTTCAGTTCCTTGCTCCAATACGCAAGAGCTATGTGACCCTGAAAAAATTATTTAACCTATCTGAGCAATGTTTCCTAGGAAACCTTTGTAGATTTGCAGGATTTTAGATAAATGACAAGATGCATGTAAACAGCCAGCACTCAGCAAATGGCAGTTCTCTGCCCACCTGATCCCTAGCCTAAGAAGCCTGGATACAGGCCTTCAGGTAAACTCGCAAGACTAATTGCCAAAGAAACGGGGCTGCGTCTCCTCTAGTAAGTGAGAATGAGATTCAGGGGAAGCAGCAGTGAGGGAAGGCCCCGCACCTGGCCATCAACATTTAAGACAAGGAGAGAGTGGAAGGAGGGCTCTCCCAGCACCATGCCCTCCACAGCCCTGTTCCGCTACTCATCCTAGGCCCTCTGCTGAAAACACGACAACTACTTAGAAAGACAAGACTGGGGCCACCAGCAAGAGTTTAAGGGGGCCGCCTGTCAGAAAGTAGGACTGTGTCCACATTATGTTTTCTGGCCCCTGGTAACGATACTATGGTTATGGATCAGAATGTCTTTTTCTTAGGAAATACACACTGAAGTACTGTCAGGTAAAGAGACGTGGTGGGTGCAACTTCCTATGTGCCAGGCATTATTCTAACTGCTTTACCTGAACTATTTTAGTAAATCCTCAGAGCAATCCTCTGAGGGAGATAACAAAACTAGCACTGTCTTCATTTCAGAGAGTAGAAAATCAAGGCATGAGGAAGGTGAGCAACTTGCCAAAAGCCACAACCAGTGAGGGGAGACCGAAGACTGCCAACTCAGGGCCTCACCCTGGACTCTATAGTTAGAACAAACTGCGGGGTTGTCCCCAAAAGCCAGTAACAGTATGAAGGCAGTGCCAGGGACATTCTGGTAGGAGGTGGAACCTGTGCTGGGATACTGACCAGATCACTGATGCGACAGGCAGCGTGTCTGCCTCATTTAGTCATGTTTCCTCTGGGGCCCACAGGAGTCAACCCTTCCTGAGCCCCACAAGACTTGTCTCCCAGACTAGGGCACAGGGGGGAACAGCCTAGTGACAGGGAGGGAGCTAGTCCCTTTGGAAAAAACTGAGAAAGGTGGAAAGAACGACATCCAGCTCAGAATTTAATGTGCTGAATTTATCTTATTTGTTTGTTATTACCCTAAATGACCCTAGGCAAAAAAGAACAGTTTCCTTCTGAAAAGTCCTGAAATTAACATTCTGGCTGAATCCAGGAACCTGATCAACCTTGGCTCATTTCACTTTGAGATTTCCAAGGCCACCGATCAAGACCCCAGTATGGACTGAAGTGCCACCGCCCTTGACCAGGACCCCATCATTCACTGGAGGCAAAGCTGTCGCAGGGACCCTCAGTCCCCTACTCTGAGGTCTGCGGGGGACTGAGGAAGACCTGCCCTCACCAATGCCGTCACAGCACACAGCACTTTCCACACTCCTCAAATCCTGTTTCTCAGGAGCCAGAGCTGTGGAGCATGTCCAGCTCCACAAGCTGTGGAATACAGGGGCTTCAAAGTGCAGGTTCACAGAGCCAGAGCCCAGCGCGCAGGGCCAGCATTTAGGGCAGCAGGCAGGCCGTGCAGCTGCGGGCCCGCAGGCTGTCTCTTCAGTGACAAGGGCGGAGGGGTGGCGTGACCAGCTTGCCCTCCCCCTCCAGCCACCCTGCCATCCTTGGCCCTGACACCCCACTCGCCTCCGCTGTGAAGCAACCATGACCACGTCCTGGCAAAATGGTTCTCTGTGGACTCCTGGACCACAGTCACTCAGACCGCTCAGCCCAGTACCCTGTGTCCATGCTGACTCATCTCTGCACGAGTCTTTCAGTTCCCCAGTCTGTCTGTCGGCACCTTGCTAATGAAATCTGTTGTCCTTCATTCCCTAGGATGCTGGGTACAATGACCAAAGAAGGCACTTAATACATATACCTGTAAATATAATCATTTGTATTGTAAAATTTTATTTTTATAAATAATAATTTTATTTGTTTGATTTGTATTTGCAGTGCTCAGGAATACAATGTTTTGATAGAGGAAGATACGGAAAAGCCAACACTGAGGCTGACAGTATAGCCCTCTTCCTTGAAAAGATACACCAACCACTTCTTGCAAGATACTCAAAACAGCCCCACACCCACATGTGCAGACCATGGGGCTCAGACCCAGGGACGTACCTCAGTCCACTGGTCAATGAGGCAGAGGAGCAGGTGAGACACACAGTCTAGGTTCCAAAATCGTTTTCAGAAGGAAAAGTTAGAGCTGTTACTCTAAGGGCTTCTACTATCATTAGCACTGTTGCCTCACGAATGACAGTGACATTTTCTTTCTAACCTTGCTAAATTTTAGCAAATACAACATGAGAGAGATAATCAAGACACCTGAGTCAGAGCGCATGCCCACAGCCAACAACACAGGCAGAAAAGAGATTCCACCGTGCTTGACCCTAAGTGCATTCAAAGAGTAGAACACAGCCGAGTTTCCTCTATGCAAACACAAAGCAGATTGAGTAAATTGACTCTTATGCAGGAGTAAGGAGAAAGCACGCTTTGTTCTCCAGGATTACACTAATTTAGAGACAAGAAGTCCTGTGATATTCCAAATTCTGAAGGCGGAGAGGAAATGGCACCCCCACAAGCAATCCCCCTAGGGACACTGCCCACCTGCTGCAGACGCAGGCTGGTGGGGCCTACAGACTCCCTCCCCCAAGCCTCGCTGTGCAGCTGAGGGTGGAAGCAGACACTCTCTGCTCTTGGCTACAGACCAAGGGGAGAATAGTGCACTGATCTGATACCAGATCACCCTTAGTACCACAAAGAACAGACCAGCCATGGCAAACCCAAATGTGACAAGCAGCCCAGCTGCCTGTGAGCTGGCAGAGAGGCCAGGCCCAGCGAACCCCTTCAGCAGGCAGCCCCCAGCAGGTCTTCCCCAAGAGGCAGAGGAGGCGGGAAATACCCAGCACCTCTGAGGATGAACTGGCCTTTGGACACCTGAGCCCATGCTTCAAGTGAAGGAGGCCCGGCCGTCAGACAGACAGCAGCAGGCACACAGCAAGCAGCAAGATGATGATGCAGACCGCACTCTTCACGTGAACCCCCAGAGCAGCTGTACACGGCAGGAATCATTCCCATTTCATGGACAGAGACACTAAGCCTTAGGGGGTTCAGCTGCCTTCCTTAAGCAAGAGCTTGAACCCAGGTTTAGTTGAAGCCAGAGCCCTCATCCTGCCCTTTGTCGTTCTGTCTCCCGACCCTCCCATCTTCTTGAAAGACAGCATGTTGTTAACAACCTCCCATTTTGGCTACAAAGGAACAAGCCTAGTTACACCTGAACAGTAGGGACCAACAGTTTGCCAACAGGATCTTAAGATTCCTCTGCTGGGATACAAACTAATACAGCATATGTAAGACAGACAAGGTCCTCCTGTAGAGCACAGAGACCTGTTTTACCTGTATCTGTGGTAAACCAACATGGAGAAGAGGAGGAAAAAGAAAATATATATGTATAACTGAATCGCTGTGGTATAGCAGAAATTAAGACAACATTGTAACGCAACTATATTTCAAGTTAAAAAAGAGATTCTTCTCTTCGGACAGACTCTTAGAGGTCTTAGGGCAATGCTGGGCAATTTACAGATGGAGGAAGCTTCACTTGGCTTCTAAACAAAACTAAAGATGTTCACATTTTTAAAATGAAAAGATATTTGGAAATTGGCTTTAAACACCAGGAAATATTCATGAGAAAGGGGGAGAGGCAGGGAGGAAGGGACCTGAAGCAGGGAGAAAGACCCCTGGCGAGGGTCAGTGCTGTGAAGCATCCTTGACCTCGACACACTTCCCGAGGCTCAGGAAACAGGACATAACGAAACATATGACACAACAAGCCACTCTCAGAGTCGCCCAGCCATATTTCCAGGTGCCTTCTCTCTCCTTCCTCTTCACAAAAGCCACAAGATCAGTCAATGAACTTCATACTTCGACTTCATGTTCTTCCAGCTCAAGAAATGCTCACAGCCTCAACCTGGGGCTTTACCCGAGAAACAACCCACTCCAGTACCAAATAGAAAAACACACAAGTACAACCTTTTTAAACTCCCAACAAATTGTTCTTTCTATTTTCTTGTTTTAATTACATGCTTGAACACAGACTCTATATATCCTTCTTTATTTAAAATTATTTTAAAATAGTGACTTAAAATTACTTCAAAAAATTCTCTAAAACCAGGATGAAGAATACTAGGTCAATAATTATTTCTTGGGATCAGTCAGTGCTTCTCAGATACACAGCAGAAAGCCTCTCCCAAACACAGGTCACTCAAAGTGGAAGGAACTTCTGACTCTCAGACACACCCTCTTTCTATCCTAAAAGAAAACATTGCCTTTGTGACAACACAAACCTCTTCTTTTTACCAAAAACAACAACTTTTGCACATCCCAGGGTCAGGACCGCCTACTATTTGCAAACACACCACAGCAGAATGACGCAAAGTGGGCAGGAAGGACTTACAGCTGAAGATGCCGGGAGGTGGGTGCTCTGTCACCAGGAGACAGTTTTCTTCGTCACTGTTGTCCCCACAGTCGTTCTGCTGGTTACAAACCAGGGAACCCAGATACAAGCACTGCCCGCTGGTGCAGGTGAATTTGCACTCTGAAAAAGCACAACACAAAGCATGTGGTTGTCAATGCCAGCCTGAGGCTCAATGCCAGCCTGAGGCTCCCCAGCTGCCACTTCTGCTCCCCCATCTGTATGCTGTGATGGTCTGGAACCCATCTACCTAGAGAACCCAGGGAACCGAGCTCAGACAGGGCCCAGGAGCACCCAGGCCTGCTGGACCTTACTCACCCCCTACCTCTGACCCACAAAATAATAGCACAGGTGCTTTCTTTACACAACATGCCCAGCAAAAGTCACAGTTATGGAACTCTTTGCTTGAAAAAAAATCCTTGTCAGTCTTCACCGCCACCAAGGAAGGAGGAGCCAGTGCAGCAGCAGTGAAAAATGTGCTCTGAACAGTCCAAGGTACTCTGCCTCAGACTTCCAGCCCAAGTGCCCGTAAGAGCAGCCTGAAAAAACTACCCAACTGTCATCAGAACACCATCAGGTATTTTAAAAGTCCTTCAGAACTGGCAAACAGCACTATTTCTCTTCTACGTTCAAAAGCACTGAATGAAAGAATGAATGGATGCTTTTCTGTGTTTTCCTGTGTACAGAATGTGCAGAGGTGTTCTCATTAGCTTCTTAGAACAGTAACAGAAGCACCCATGGAAGCAGATAAGAATGCCTTAACATTCTCTGCAAACAAAAGGTGCAACAGTACATGCAAGGTATCAAATACATGGGAAATAGTCTGAAAGGATGCTCGCCAAAACACAAACAGTGACACTTCTGGGTGCTGGGATCATTGGTAATCTGTAGTTCTTTGTGACTTTTATGTACCATTTTATAATCAGGAAGATATAAAGCCTATTTTAAAGTGAGAAAAATCTCTGAAATCAAATGTTCATAGAATTCGAAACCCACCATAATGAAGTACCTATAACATCACACAAACAGAAGTCTAGACACACAGTTCCAGCCCCACCGTCCCAATCACACTGTAAGGCACAGACCTCACGGGGGCACCCCCAGAAAGAGCAGCAGTAAAAGCACAGACACCAGCTGGCAGTTCCCTCCTGAGGACTCGCTGCAGAGTGCTGGCAGGGGGGTGGGGGGGAGAGAATCCCGCAGAGCCACAGCCCGCAGTGCAGGAGTAATGTCGAGGGCCAGACGGCATGCTGACGACCAGGCTGGTACCGTATCTACAGGCTTTAATAAGGGCCTCTAAAAAGGATCTAACCACACAGCCCTGAGCATTTAATGTACATCCGTGAAGACTAACCCTGCACACCCCACTCACAACAGCTCCACGGAGGAGCAACAAGAGTTCTGAACTGCCCGCTGACATGTGCGCACGTCCCTGAGGACGATACCCAACCTGCAGGACCCACTAGATGGCTGCACAGGCATTCACGGCACAAACCTGGGCCCCGACGGGGGAAACAGGGGTGAAAGTGCAGCGGTGACCCTCAGGTATTGTGACCACTGAGCCTCAGGACTCTTTCCCTCAAGTCACTCTTTCATTCATTCTTGCAAGAGTCCTCACTACTCTGGCAAGGAGCGTGGCCACAGGTGCCAAGGACCGAACAGACAGTTCCATCTAAGAGTTTCTCCTTCAGCTCTTCAACTAAACACTGTGCTTTCCTCAGGCAAGAACAAGACTCTTAGCCTCTCAACTGCTTCCTGGTCAACGTGGTGCTGGGACTAAAGCAGTGACTCTGCATCCTCCTCTGACAGCCCAGGGCCCAGAGGATATGAGGTTTGGGGTCAGTGAGTGTCCCCACAGGATTGCTAAATCTGTGAGCAGGTAGATACCCTCAAGATTTCTCTGCAAGACAGCATCCCCCAGCTGAAAAATCTGACAACTACCTACTGCCTTACATTCTAAAAGTCCTTCCAGTTCTTAGAAACCACAATTCCACAGTTTTAAGAAAGAAATGTTAAAGAATGACACTCTACTTGAGCCCTTCAGTACCTTGAGTACCAAAGGTACTTCCGGTGCTCACTCTTCATTATTCTAATGATTATCCTAATGACAGGTGCTAACTCTGGACAGGGATCACAGTGATCACCAGTGGACACGGTGATCAATACACTGACTGGACACATTGATCAGAACTGGAAATAGTGATCAATACACTGACTGGACACATTGATCAGAACTGGACACAGTGATCATCAATACCACCTCCACGAGATCCTTTGCAGCAGCATCACTAAAGCGCTGTAAACTCCCTGTCTTTTTTTTTTTTTTTCTTCATTTATTTTTATTAGTTGGAGGCTAATTACTTTACATCATTGCAGTGGTTTTTGTCATACATTGACATGAATTAGCCATGGATTTACATGTATTCCCCATCCCGGTCCCCCCTCCCACCTCCCTCTCCACCCGATCCCTCTGGGTCTTCCCAGTGCACCAGGCCCGAGCACTT